ACATCCTCCTCCTCCTCCTCCTCCTCCTCCTCCTCCCCCCCATTCCACTTTCAGTTAAACTTAAGCATCATCCTTGTCTGCCCGCATTCGCCTGAGACTTCCTCCCCGCTCACTGCCCCGACGCTGGACGCGTCCAGTTGCACTGCGCGGGTGGAAGGGTGGTGTTAAATCAGATGTGGAGCTGTGCCTCAGCGCCGCGCACATCCGTCTTGAACATTTTCGACTGTTACTCGGATGGAGGGCGGGCCCTTTTCAGGATATGGCTCTCGCCTGAGCGCCATGAGCACTCGGCTTAAAAGCTTCCAACAACTACACGGATGGATGGTCGTTCTGCTTGTAAAGAAGTGCCTCTTCGCGCTGCGCACATTCGCCATTCAAGATATCAACGAACACACGGCAAGCGGGCGATATCAAGATGGGGCTCTTGCCTTCGCTCCGCACACACTCGTCGTGAATACTCCCAACAGTCATACGGATGGAGGGCGGCTCGCTGTCAAAATGAAACTTTCGTTTGGGGACTTCCTCAACCTTTTTGACCTAGGCATACAGCTGTGAAATAGCTCCACGGGTGGAAGGCGGCTCCTTTTCGAATCGGCGCCCTCGCCTGTGACATACTTAGGTTGTATTGCCAGACGCGTTTGGAGACAAGTTGCACGACTTGAACGCGGCGGCAAATATTTGTCACCACGGGGCTTTTGCCTGAATCGCCAGACCAAGGGTCGCTCGTTTCTGACTGGGGGGCACTTCCCGCAGTGACACTGGCTTCTTGCATTGGTGTGTGAATAGGGGACTCGGGACGGGCAGGCGCATTGAAGTCGTTGGTGCATCTCGGGTTTACTCTGGCCCCTCGTCCTCCTTCCTCCTCCATCCCTGCGGCTCTCGCCAGGGGGACCCCAAACCGCGTTATGGAACTGATCCATCGCGCCCATTAACAGAGCCGGTCAACCGACTTCCCTGTCACGTCATGCAGCGCACGATTGCGAATAGACAAGTGTGCACGCATACACACATTTTTACGTTGTGTGTATGTGTTGACATGTGCAAGGTGCATGCGTATAGAAACTATGTATAAAGATGTAAACACTCATACTTGCAATCCATATACATACATATATATCAATCAATCAATCAATCAATCTCTGAGGGGCAGTGTTCCACAAGTCAGCACATCAAAAAACGAGTGTGTTGGTCACTCTGACCAGCACCCTTAGAAGATCATATAAAGTGGCTGGCTTTCTAACCTTACCCTGAGAGCCTACTGTTTAGGGATGAGCTGCATGTGCGGGGGGGATACCCTCGGGCAGTCTGCAGCGCCCTGTGGTGGGGGACTTAGGGGCTGCCCTGCACCACACAGGCAACAAGAATCCGCTGAGTCAGTGACTCCACTCAGGGGAAACGGCGATTTCAGCAGGCAGGCTTTTCTTTCCCCCCGGGGAGCAACGGTGCGAGGGTCACTAACGGCGCAACGCCGGGCAGTCCCCACTCGCACCGCGCCCCCCGTTGGGAAGGCGTGGTCAATCCGCTGGGACGCCGCCTCGGCCTGCATCACCAGGTGGAGCCCCCAAAGGGGCAAGACCCGAGGGTCGACCACCAGGTGGCACAAGCCTTAGCGCCGCCCAGGCATTGACCCCGCCAGCGAGGAGGGGAAGAAAGGGAGCGAACACTCGCACATGACCAAAAACTGCGACCGTGTACAAGTCAGGGCGTCGGCGTCGCGAAGCGTCTCAGTACAGCAAGTCCTCGTGCTAGCCGCCACCCTCGGTAGCGTCGCAATCGAAGTCGTCAAAGTAATTGTCGTGCATGGCCCACCCCCCAAGGTACAGCTACACCGCTCAGAGCAAGTGTCCAGACTTTGACCGCATTACGGGCCGATATACATATATATTTATATATATATATATATATATATATATATATATGTATATACATATGTATTTACACACCGGAATGCTTGCGTATAACCTGTATGATGTACTGGACTTTCAACAGCCCCCAGCTAGAATGTAGGAATCAATCGGCGACCTGGAGCACGGCAGGTAAACACTGCGCTAGCACACTTCGAGGGCCCCTTTCGGTTCTGTCGAGCCAGCTTGACGGCGCACACAAGGAGAGTGGCAGGAGGGGTGCGGCTGACAAAGAAGGCTCAGGGGCGTCTCAGAAGGCAAGGGGCCTTCTCGGAGGGCCTGGGAAGCTTCTAAGAAAGCTTCCTAGTAGCGGGGGGGGGCGTCTGAGAAGCCCCTCCCGCCTTCTTAGGCAAGGCCGCACCGCTCGATGGATGGGGCGTCTCAGAAGGCAAGGGGCCTTCTCGGAGGGCCTGGGAAGCTTCTAAGAGAGCTTCCTAGTAGCGGGGCCCGCGGGGGGGGGCGTCTGAGAAGCCCCTCCCGCCTTCTCAGGCCAGGCCGCACCCCTCGCGCCGCCCCCCTCCGTTGGCGCCGCCCACCCGTCGCCCCGGGCCCCCGCCCCCGCGCTCCGCGGGTACCTCCGGCGGCGACCGTCCCCCAGGGCGGCAGCGCCGCCGCCGCCGCCGCGCTCGCCGCCGCCGCTCGCCGCCGCCGCTCGCCGTCGGCCTCGCCGCCGCCGCCGCCGCCGTCGCGATCGTCGCTGGCGTCGGCCGCCGTCGCCAAGAAGAGGGGCGACAAACAAGAGAGACCCATGCCGCTACTCTGCAGACCTCGCCTGCTCCTCCTCCTCCTCCTCCTCCTCCTCCTCCTCCTCCTACTCCTCCCTCCTCCTCCTCTTAAGGGTAATGGATACCTCTTCCTCCTCTGAAGTTCGCGGATCGACTCGGCAGGGCGGGGGCCCTCGGACAAAGCCCGCGAGGGGAGCGCCTGCGCCGACATCCCCGCGCGGATGCGCCCCGCCGCCGCGCGTTCTGGCCGGGATCTCGAGGCGGATCCAGCCGTGGCGACGAGGGATGGATACAGTCAAGAACAGTCCGCAAGAGACCCGTCGCCAGACACCCAGCCCTGCAAAATCGCCGACGTTTGGTGGGCCAAGGTTGGTTTTCTTGCTTAGCGGCTTCCAGCGAAGCAACTCAAGGTACCCTGGGCCACCCTGTCAGCTGCTGTTCCTTAGCGACCGCTGCAAACCTTCAGTGCGAACACAAACCAGAGAAACCCAGGGCACCCCTGCAGAACGTGTAGTACTTCTTTGCATGGGCTCCCACTGTAGTGCTGTAGCAGTATGAGTATCTAGAGGCCTCCTAGATGGGGTCCGAATAGATGGGGTCGGAGGATCGCGCCGCATCGCCGATGCATGGCCGATGCATCGACGATATATCGGCGACACGAGCGATGCATCAGCACTGTCGGCGTGGAAATAATCGTGTTCCACATCGAGCCGCATCGGCGATCCATCGGCGATGTGGCGCGATCTTCCAACCCCACCTATTCCGACCCCATCTTGGAGGCCTGGAGTTGAGCACGGACCGACCGTCCTTGCATTCCTACGGGCCTACCAGGAAGTGCTCTTAGAACCAAGGAATGACCTAAGGACAAACAATATTATCAGGTAATGACGATGCGTTTATAGCAAGACGGTCTCAACCAGGCATGTTCTACGAACATCGCGTGCATACCGCAAGAGGCTATTAGAACACTCCTTGGTGGGCCGATAGGCGAGCCAGGACGCTTCGCCACTGCTTGATAGAGGGACCGACGGCGGGTGATGATAATACCCGGGAGATAATAAAGTTCGGTGGTCTGGCGGGGATAATCGACGATTTTCCCGGGGAAGGTGATGTCAGTTAGAAATTAGCTATGATGATGACGATGATGATGATGATGATGATGCTGATGATGATGATGATGATGATGATGATGATGATGATGATGATGATGATGATGACGATTATGATGATCATGACGATGGTGATCCTAGGCGCTCGGCACAAGACTGACTCGAGAGATGCTCGATGCTCGTCAGCTTGTCCTCATCTGAGCCGGCGCCGTCGCCGCCGCCCTGGTCGTCCACGTCGCCGGCGCCGGCGCCAGCGCTGGGGCTCCGCGGAGAGGACCGCGCAGAAGCCCTCCGGGCAATGCAGGCGCCCCTCGCCGAGCGCCTCGGCGGCGGCGCGGACGGAGGAGTGCGCCCCCGGGTCGAGGAGCCGCACTCTGCCTCCCGCGGCCCGGCGCCCCTGGGAGGGGGGGGCGAGGGAGACGAGGGGGAGGAGGGAGATGAGGGGGGGGGGAGAGGACAGGACGAGGAGACGGGGGGATGATGGGGAGGAGGGCGAGGAAAGGGAGGAGGGGAGGGGGAGGGGCAGGGGAGGCGGGGTGGAGCTGGAAGCTGCATCGGTTTGCCTCCACAGGGAGGCGCGTCCGAGAAGACACGACAAGAGGCAGGGGCGAAGCGCAAGGAGGCAGCGCTGTTGGGCCACGCAGCTGGGACATTGCAGCCATCCCGGGAGCGGGACGCGGGGCGGCTCAGAGTTCTTTTCTGACGGGAGGCGGGGGACCCAACCGAGGCAGGGCTGCCGTGGGTCTCAAGCAAGACTGCGCGGGCGCGCTGGGTCCGCCCACGCGCTGTGCGAATCCGACTGAGCGCGAGTCCAGGAGCGGCTGCACGCAAGCCAGGCCCAATGCTGGTAGTCGGCTGTCCTCGTCTCGCTCAAACTTCTGACAGCACCACCCGCCCGCGGCGTTCCATGAACAGAGGCATGCGCGCGCTTTTCTTCGCGTGTGCACGCGCGCATTTGAATCACCGCTTGCGTTCACAAGGTCTTCGGGATTTCATGCACGTGCAATGAGGCGGCGCCTGGGCTTCCCTGTCGGGGCTGCGGGGCTCGAGAACAGAGAAGGTCCGCTGCTGGCATCAGACTCACATGTCTTCGAAACGATCAGCCCGCAACTGGCTCCTACCTGTTTGCTCAAAACCATGGGTGGGTCGCGGGGTGGGGCGCTGGCGGACCGCGAGATCCGACAGTCAAACAAAGAAGAGGTCCGCCGCAAGCACTGGTGCGTTCTACCCAACTAAGCTGCCGCAGGCTGCGATTGTTTTTGGGAACGATCTCGGTGGGTCGGGGCGTACGCGTGTGTGTGTGTGTGTGTGTGTGTGTGTGTGTGTGTGTGTGTGTGTGTGTGTCGTCCTCCGCTCTTTGCCCACGGCCCTTGCCTGCAGCGTTTGCTACGGTGCTGCTTTGCACCCTGCTTCTGTTGCCCCCCCTTTGGCGTGGCACGACATTTCTCTGCGTTTTGCACCACTCTCGTCCTCCGTCCCGCCTCATGCTGCCGACTGGGCAGGCCCCTCGGTTAGCGTGTTTCCTCCACGCCATGCGCGCCCGGATGTGCTGATAATTTCCCTCGCTGCTCATGCCGCCGATTGGGCAGGCCCATCGGTTGGTGTGTTTCCTCCCTGCCATCCACGCTCGGTTGGCAGATGTCGGCAAGCGTTTGGAACCCTAAGCGATTCTTGAGGATCCGGTCGCGACCGCGCGTTTAGTTGAGCCGCCTCGTCGCCGCGCGAGAGGCCGCTACCGCCAAAAATGTATGTGTGTGTGTCGCCAGTTCGGGTCGCAGGTGTGGGTCGCGGGTGGATCCTAGGTTGGTCGAGGGGTGAGTCGCAGGATGGGTCGCGGGCCAGGGTGACAGCGAAAAGAAGAGAAACGACATCTGATGTTCCTCGCGCGAGTCCCGCCCGGGAAATGCTGCGAATGTTATCGATGCTCGTCCTGTAGTTGTTTTCATTTCTTGTTCTATCTCCCACGTGCGCCTGGTGGTAATGCCATGTGTGTATGTAATTTGCGCATAACCTTTGAGATCATTGTATGCACCACTTCTGTGGATTAGTGGCATGTCCGTTGCGGGTGTTTGTTGCGCATGCCGTCTCGGAATTGATGTTTCCTTGTGCTGGGGTGTCACGCCTTTTTGCGTGTATACCATCTCCGTTGGACAAGTGGTGTCTGTACATATGCTTCGTACGTGCGATTTGCGCAGATCGGTATAAACAATATTCAGACACGTTATTCACGCATGTACTTAACATCTGTCGTGTGTAACTGCCCATTATATGGTATGTGGTTCCGCTGTCCTTCGTCAATCGTGCGTGTCATTCCTGCGTCATTGTCGTAAATGGTGGCCGTTCACCATTGTCCTGTGATGGCCCACCGTGGCGCCGTGACGCCTGCCACTTCGTGTTTGGAACTATTTGCGGATATGACTGCCAAACGCACGTCAGGTTGGCAGCTGCCGCTGTCATCTCACAACGGCTGCCCTGGTGCTTTGCTATATGATACGGTTGTACGCTTTTGTCTGCCGTCGGCTCGGTCATGCCGTCGTTTGTCGAGGACGCGAACTGGGACACCGGGGAGCATCGGGGACTCTCCGGGCTACTCTCGTGTGTGCGTGTGCTCATGCGGGCAAATTGGTGGAACTACCTCTCTGTAAGGGACACTCTGGCATCAACCGTCCAATTCTACATGATCATGGATGACGTCGGAAATTCCCTCAATGAGCACCCACCACGTCCGTCAGAAACTCATATTTCGCATCCCTCCCTATCTCCTTCCCTCGCCTGGTCCTCCTCCTCCTCCTCCTCCTCCTCATGCGACACCGTGGCACCACGACACCACCTCTCGGAGACATGTTGCCAAATGAACCCGCGACGCCACACACCACCACCGAGGTCACGACCACCATGGCACCGCACGACAGCTCCAGCATACACCGCGGCCCACGGCACCGCGGCATCATCTCAACACCACGACGCGAATGACGCAAAGAAGGAAGGATCATTAACAGCAGCTGGTATACGAATACGACGACAATGGCCATGAGCAGGAGCAGCTGAACAAGTGAAGTCGCCGTCGGATTCTCGCTGCCCCCATCCACGACAAACAACTGCACACAGAGCCACGGGCTGGCCGGAAAAAGCGAGGCCCTGCCCCGCGAGATCCCGGCCCTCCTTCGTACTTGGCCTCGTCGCCCTGGGAGCTTCGATGTTTGGCCCCTCGCTGCATGCCCATCCGTCGTTATCTTCTCCTCTCTCCATATCCCCATGACACGCCCGTCAAAAAGTAAGACAGGTTCGATGGGTAACGCCAGGCAAAGCACCGACCACACTCATGACGCACACGGAAGCACGACCTCGCACACACACAAACACACACACCCACACACACACAAGCACACCCACGCACCCCCGCACCCCCGCACCCCCGCACCCCCGCACACACGCACACACCCAGACCCGCACACACACACAACAAAAACACACACACACACCCTCACAAGCACACACGCACACATCCACACACCCACACACCCACACAAGCACACACGCACACACGCGCACACACATACGCACACACGCACGCACGCACGCACGCACGCACACACGCACACGCACACACACGCGCACACACGCACACGCGCACACGCGCACACGCGCACACGCGCACACGCGCACACGCGCTCACGCGCACACGCGCACACGCGCACACGCGCACACGCACACACGCACGCACGCGCACACGCACACACGCACACACGCACACACGCACGCAGACGCAGACGCAGACGCAGACGTATACGTAGACGCAGACGCACACGCACGCGCACACGCACGTGCGCGCACACACACGCACACGCACACGACGCACACGCACACGCACACGCAGACACACACACACACACACACATTCGCACACAAACACACACACACGCATTCCACACATACACAAGCACATTCAAACACTCACACACACATTCTCACACATTCACACACATATTCAAACACCCACACACATTCAGACACACACACACGCATAAACACACACACGCACACGCATTCGTACACGCACACACAGAAACACACACACATGCATATTACAACTCGCGCACATCTTGGCAAGCACACCGGCATACCTTCCTTGAACAATTTGCATACTGTGACCCAGAACTGCGTGGACGGCAGAGGCTGAACGCGCAGCTGGAGGCGGCCAGCACCATCGGATGGCGTTGGCTGGCGTGGTCCCACCAGCCATTTCAGCGAAGGTGGTCTGACGGTGTCTCTTTCCTCTGCGACGATTACCACCATTACCGCCACCACCACTACCACCACCACCACTGCCTCAACCCACCACCGCCACCACCAACCCACCATACAACCACCACCACAACCACCACCACCACAACTCACCGTCATCACCACCTCAAAAAAAACCCACCACCATTACCAACACCACCGCAATGTACTCCACCACCACCACAACCACCACAACCACCACCACTACCAGCAGCACAACCCACCACCACCACCACCACAAACCACCACACCGCCACCACCACAACCACCACCACACAAACCACCGCCACCACCACAACCCACCACCACCACCACCACCGCAAACCACCACCACACCACCACAACCACCACCACCACAACCACAACCCACCACCACCACCACCATCACCACCACAAACCACGACCACAATACAACCACCACCACCACCCACCACCACCACCACCACCACCCACCACCACAAACCACCACCACAACAAACCACCACACCACCGCCGCCACAACCACCACCACCGCCCCCACCACCACCACCACAACCCACCACCACCACCGTCGTCCTCGTCGACGCTCCCCGCCGCCGCCGCCCGCCGCCGAAGGCGCCGGCGCTGGCCCAGAAAAGAAAATCGTTGTCCCCGTCGCCGCCTCCAGCCGCCGCCGACGGAGGCGCCGGCCCGAGGAGAGAGAGAGAGGAGAAGTAGGGGAGGAAAGGGGGGAGGGGGGAGGGGGGTTCGAACCCCCCCCCAGTCCGGTTCCAAACCCCCTCCCCCTCCAAGCGAACACAGAACGCGCTCTTTCTGACATACACGTTTAAATTTTGGAGGTCCGCGCTGATTTCTTGGATCGGCGCCGGACCGCCTTCACTGGCCCGCGGAGCGCGCCAGGGGCGGCGCAGGAGCGCCGCGACGGGGTGGTCCAGCGCAGATCCCTCCGAAACTTTAGGTTTATGCAGTTGTTTCTCCTTCGAAAAATTCGAAAAACCCACCTCGGGCTAACTCCCCCTCCTATTCGGCGATGTGCGAGCGTGGCCCTAAGCAAGAGCGACCTTTGGTGTGCACTTTTCGGAGGCCGTTGGGAGGCCAAACCCAGGCGCACAAGACGCTGCTGTCGCATCGCGTTCAGTCATCTGGGGACCCCAGTGTGCCCACACCGAGGGTCACTCTGGCCGAAGGTCACTCTCACGTGCAGCGCACCCCCGAATGAAGGCGCCCTCGAATAGCGCCGTCCTGCCGGCACAGCTCGAGGGCGGCGCTGGCGTCCCAGACCGCGCTCCTCAGAGGCGCGACGCTGGCCTGGGTCATACGCAGGCGCCGCCCCCCCCCCCCGCCCACGCCCCCCGAGTCCCCTGGCGCGGCGGGGTCGCGCAGCAAGCAGCAGGACGCGGACGGTGAGGTTGAGGACGGCGACGACGACGACGACGACGACGACGACGGCGACGGCGACGACGACGGCGGCGGCGGCGGCGGCTGCGGCGGCGGTGGTGGCGGCGACGACGACGACGACTCGGTCGTCGCTGTCGCCGCCGTTGTCGTCGACTTGGTGGTCGTCGTCATCGTCGCCAACGTAGCCGTCACCGTCGCTGTGGCGTAGCAATTTCTTCGAGCTGGGCGTTTTTGCATCATTTCGGGCCTGGGGACCCTCCCAGATCGATCCAGGTGGGGGTCCAGGGGCTCTAGTCTCGGGGGCGCACAAACATGGATTAGCGATCCATGGATTTGGCGCGCGGTCGCCAAATCCATTCGCCAAATCCATGGATCGGGGGAGGCGCCCTCCCCAAAATACGGCCGGTGCCGCCTCGCTCGGCGGCGGAAATCCGCGATTCCCCATGGAAGTGGGACCCGTCGCTAATCCTCGCCCCCTTGATCCATGTTTGCAATCGCCTGATAGTCGTGCACGCACGATGATGCAATTTTTTCGTGTCGTGGGGTCTCAGGGTTCGCCCTTGCCCTTCTCTTCGCGGTGGCGCCTCCCGCCCCGCCCCCCTCGCAGAGGGCGCGCAGGGGTACCGCTCGTGCGCGTGGCGCAGGAGGCAACGCGGGCAGCGACGAGCCAGCGGGGCCTGCTCCCCCGTGTCGCGCAGGCCGCGGGCAGCATGGCACGCGACCCGTGCTGCGGCGCGCGCGGCTCGGTGGCGGCGATAGGGGCGAACAGCCCAGGGGCGGGCACCACGCGCATTCGCCCGGGAGCCTTGTCTTGCCATCGCTCGGACGTCCATTCCCTGTGCATTTTTCGGTTTCGTGCGTATTCTTGTTTGCTCGATGATCCAGGATGCTCCTCCAGGGTCCTCGCCGAGAAAAACATGCACACGTCCGAGCGATGCCAGGTTTTCGAAGACCTAGATCCTCGGCACCCCTGGATACATGTATTGCTCCCCCCTGGGCTATTCGCCCCTGCTCGTCGCCTCCGAGCGGCCACCGGTGTCCGCTGGCAGCCCCGCTGTGCTGCCCAACCTGCAGGGCGCCGTGTGCGTGAAACGCATGCATCGGAACAGACAACGGCAGAACCATAAGCATTCGAAGGTGAACCGGATTCCTTGGATCGGCGCTGGACCCCCCTGGCGGCGCCTCGGGCGCCGCCCCTGGCGCGCTTCGCACGCCAGGGAGGGGGGCGATCAACGAAATCCGCGTGGACCACCGATCATTCATCATTCATATGCATGCCGCGATTTTTCTTCGAGAATGGAGAAATGCGCGCGGGAGAGCACATAGAACGCCGTGCGTGCCTGCGTGGGCCTGATGGTGTCGGCGTCTGGGCCCTCGAAGGAAAGACATGCAGCGAGACGGGGAAGCGGATAGCCAACCTGCGCAGCGCCCGGCCCGCGGCAGCAGACAACGCCAAGCGGCGGGGAGAGTCGCTTGAAACGAACTTCAGCTTCAGAATTCAGAAGAGCAGCCACGTGAACGAAGAGAAGGAACGGGTCTCATGCGAGATAGCATAGCCACCTTGCGCCGCGGTCCACGCGGACCGCCAGCGCGGCACGCTAGGCTGGAAACGAAAGCGCTCACGCGCGACCTTACGCGGGCAGTTTACGCGCCAAGTTGGCGCAATCGACCTCGTTTTCTGGCGCGGGGGGCGGCCCAAGAGCGGCACAAGAGGCGCGTCCGAGGGGGTCAAACGCCAATCCACAAAATTCGCGCGGACCCGCGAAACTCTCCGTTTATGCAGTTTCATCATCTTCGGCCGTAGACGGAAGAGCAGGAGGAGAAACAGTCTGTCGTCGCCGTCCGACGAGCGCGGATCCTTGCTGGACCCCACCTCTCTTTGGCGCGCTCCACGCGCAAGGGAGGGGTGTCCAGCGCCGATGCAAGACTTCCGCGCGGAGTTCAGGCAATCTATGCTTACGCCGATGCTCCTTCTGAAAGCATCCCCTCACCCCTCCTCCCTGCGCCGCTGGGCGCGTCAGCCGGTCGGTCCGGATCCTTAACGGCCTCTGCAAGACGAATGGCTGTACAAGCTTCTACTCATGAGAGGAAAAAGGGGCCATCACCATCAGAACTTCATAAAACTCCGTTCCCAAAGGCCACCCTTTCGAGCTGGTGGCACTCCGTCCCGGGCACTCTGTGGGAGCGCGCCCAGAACGGTGTGCCACCAGCTCGGGGAGTGTGGTAAATAGCGGCATGCCCCCCTGGCTGGTGGTGGTGGTCCTTCATTCTCTGGCGAATCATGCCAGAGCACGGCGTTCTCTTCCCGGTTCGCGGCCTGGGGTTGGGGAAGCAAAATAACATACACAACAATTATGTTGTTTGGCATTCAGTGGCCATTCATATGCCTTCAGTGAGCTCACTGCCGCCATCCTGTTGCAGGCTTTTGGCCGAGGAGGCTCCGGCGGGAGCGATGCTCCAATCATCCAGGGGAAGGAAACGGGGCTGGGAGGGAGTGGAGCGGAGCCAGTTGCGGACGCAAGTTCAGGCAGCAGCAACAGCTCGGATCAGAGAGAACCCGATCGCGTGGCCTCCTGCTCGGCGCTGGCGAGGTCGAAGGAAGGGGGGGGGACACGGAGGCCGAGGACGGAGAGGGACCCAGACCCCCAACGTCATGCTCTGTTCATAACGCCGATCCCCAGAGGTCTCGACCCATTCCCAGGCACCGGGTTTCCACCCCGCCCCGTTTTGTGAACGGTCCCCGAACCCAGCGAGGGCCGCCAAAGACCAAAAACAACAAAACACCGCCCCCCCTCTTGATCGCGTCCCGGCCGCCCCGCTCGGCGGCTCATACCTCGGGTCTCCAGCGGCCGCTCGGGACTGTCCAGGCACCCCCGCAACGCTCTCGGCGGGGCGCAACCGTTGGAAGACATCCCAAGGCTGGAAAACCTCCGAGAACCGACAAGAGCGCCCGAAAATCTCGAACCTCGAAGCTTCGTCCGCCCCTGAACCTACCCCAAGATCCGACGTCGCAAAAAACATTGAGCAAAACACCGTCAAACATTGAGACCGGAGCTCTGGGCCCCATCTTGCTGCTGCGTTTTTCAAGCCCGATCGACCTGTGAGGGTCCCGAGGTCCGAATCCGGGCGAGTATGCCTGCTACAGAAAAACAAAAATTGCAACGCCCAGATCTTCAGGTGCCCCCACCAGATCATCTGCGACTGAAAACTTTCGGTCGCGAGCGGTCGCGGCCGATCCTATCGGTGATCTTCTGACCCCGATCAATCCAGACCTGGGTCAGTCAGGCCTTGCAGACTTCTGCAAGATCCTGCACACAAACCCGGGTTAATGCGAAGGATCCTGCAAGAGCCTGCCACCCAAAGCTGGGCCAATGCGACCCTGGCCCTCTGCAGGATCCTGCAAGATCGGGTGCTCTGGCTGACCCCCGCTTGCATTGACCCCCGTCTCAAGGCCCCCGACTATCTGCATTTCGGTCGCGACCCGTATTCTGTACCGATCAGCCGCGACTGAAAAGCGGGATCGACCACGACCATAATACTTCACGTTCTCGCGACCGTTCGTGGCCGAGCATCCGCGTCCGGAACTGTGGACTGGTCGGCGCCCCCGAAGTGGGCGGGTGGCCTGCCCGCTCACGGGCGACGCCGGGGCCCCAAAATCCGTGTGGTGGCCACAACGTGCGGTGGATCAGTGGAGATTTGGGGTCACCACAGGGTTCGGGGACTCGGGTCCTTCTCCGAGGTCGTCTCGGGCGACCGGGGCCTCCGGGGTCCCCCAAGGCCGCGTGGTGACGGGCCGCGCGGTGAGGTCGTTGGGTCGTTGGGGCTTCCGAGGTCACCACGCGATCCGTCACCACACGGCTCCGGGGCCCAGGCCATCCACCACCACCACACAGCCGAGCATCCGGAGGGACGCGCGGGCACAGTGGGTTGCAGCATTGGCAACCCATGACACATGCGACCTCTGACTGGCCGGGGAGGAGGGGCGGGGGAGGAGGGAAGAGGCAGGGAGAGGAGCGCCGAGACCGCGGCCGAACACTTCCGGTCGCGATTTCGGTGCCGGTACTGTCGCGACGGGTCTCCGTTTCCGGTCGCGGATCGCACGGCGCGGGGGGGGGGCCGAGGCTGGGGTCCGAAGTGGCAAAGGAACTCCACGGAGAGGGGGGCAGGGCGAGGGCGGCGGCAGAGAGGGGGCCGCGGGAGGGCGAAGCACGACCCGAGCCCCTAAACCGTGCGGTGATCCTGAAGCCCGACTGCCCCACCACGCGGTGTGGTCACCACACCTTCTGGTGGCGCCCACCGGAGGGGCGGGTGGCCTGCCGGCTCACGGGCGACGCCGGGGCCGAGAGCACGAGGACCTGGGCCGCGTCCAGCGCCCGCCAGGCCCGCTGCCGCTGGTCGGCCGCCTGGCTGCCGCCGTTTTTTGTTGTTGTTCGTCCCTCTGGCCAGTCGGCGGGGGGGGGGAGGTTCTGAGGACCATCCTGGAAACCTCACGCGGCAACTGGAGACCCGACTTACGTCGGATCCACATCGGATTCACGTCGGGTTCACGCCGGGTTGGGTCGACTTCGCGTCGGAATTACGTAGGACTTAACTACGTCGGAGCCGCGCCGCGCGAACGTCGTCCCACATCTGACGGAGCGAACCTGGGAACTAGATAATACAACTATTGCGCGCTGCGCGAGGTCTCCCAAGCTCGATGTGAGCTTCAAAGAGTACCCGCGCCCATCTTTGAGGACGAGGCGGCCGTCGGAGAGATGCTTGAGACTGTGAGCCTGCGAACTACAGGACAGCTAGATGGCCAACATCAAATATCAAGCCAAGAGCAAGACACAGCCTCAAGGTAAGAGGCATGTAAGGAATCGATCGGCTGGTGGCCAGCGTCATGTGGATGCGGGATGCGGAATGGAGCGGAGAGGAGATGGGAGGAACATAAAGGAAAATATGTCTGCGCGCGCACACACATACACACAGATATATATATATATATGTGTGTGTGTGTGTGTTCACATACAAATATATATACATATATATCTTTTATATATGCGTAAAAATCCGCCGGCCCCCTTGCGGGGCCACCAGGCTGTAGGGCTAGGGTCTGCTGTTCCCTGCGCCAGTTCCAGTTTCCAATTTGTTCACTGTTGCAGTTCTGCTTCTTGCTGCTTGCTGTTCCTTGTTGATGGACCGCGCGAGGGGGGGAGCCGAAAAGTACCCTGGTTAGCGTCTCCTGGGAGGGTTCTCAGACATTCTGGGGGGGGCGTGGGACATGTACAAATACTTGAAATTCGCGTCCCCGAGGCCATAGAGCCTCGTGAATTACGCAAGGTTCGCGTCCCCGAGTCCATAAGCCCTCGTAAATTAAATCATATTCGCGTCTAACCATAAACCTTCGTGAATTGCGCAATGCTTGCGTCCCCGAGGCCGCAAACGCTCGTAAATCACACAATATTGGTGTTCCGAATCCATACAACCTCGTAAATTACACAATATTCGCGTCTCCGAAGCCACAAACCTGTGTAGCTGACGCAATATTTGCGACCCCGAAGCCGTAAACCCTCAAAACTTATGCAATGATCGCGTGTCCCAAGCCATAGATCTTGGTAAATTACGCAGTGCTCGCGTCTCCGACACCATAAACCTGCGTCGAGTACCTTATATGTGCGACCACGAAGCCATACACCCTCGTAGACGACGCACAATCGCGTATCCGAAGCCATCAACCCTGGAAATGCAACACCGAATTCCTCAATCTCATCAGAATCTCAATTTGTCTTGCCGATTACTCATCGTCTTCACGTGAAGTCCCGACGCTGCTTCACTGCGGCGCCAAATCCTCATGTTTTCGCTCTTGCATTGCCCATTCTCCGAGAGAGGGGGCCGGCGGCAGGGGGCGAAGCCCTCACGGATAATCTCTCGGAGCTCCGCGGGTGTATTTTCATGCCCTTGTCTTCTGCTTCGGGAGATGGAGAGAAGGGCAAGGATAAGAGTGGGGGCAAGGGGGAGGAGGAGAGGAGGGAGGAGGAGGGCGAAGGAGGAGGAGGAGGAACAATAACAACGACGCGAAACCGAATGCACTTCGCGGGGACGGGGGGAAGCGAGTACTGGCGGGGAGCAAGAAGTTTGCGATCCAGTGTGCAGTGCATGCTGGCTGCGGCCTGGCACCGATGAACGGAGAGCTCCCATCCACGGCGACCCGCGGATGGGAGATATCCTCACAGAGTACCTGCGTCATTGATGCTCGCACGTCCAATGCCGCCAGCACTCTGGATCCACATGGTCTAGCGTGCCAGCTCGTCTGACGCGTGGCATGGTGACCCCAGTCCCCGACTCCATGGGGTTTTCGAAGACACAAGAAACCAACCTAGGGGTATGCGACGGGGGGGGGGGGGGCAAACCGCGATGAGGGGCGCGTCTGAAAAGCCTCATGGGGGTGTATTCCCGAGCCCCCTGGGGGTGTATCCCCCTCTGAACGACAAACGTTGTGTTTGGGGGCGAGAAGTCGCCTGCGATCTTGCTCAGGCTCACCCCCCATACCCCTCCTCGATGATCCTGCTCGTCCTTCCTCCCCCTCGTCTCTCCTCCCTCCTCGTCGTCCTCCCTCCTCTCTCTCCTTCCTCCCTCCTCCCTCCTCTCTCCTCCTCCCTCCTTCCTCCTCTCGTCCCGCCGCCCTTCCCCCACCCCCGCTGGGGTCTGGACACCGCAGTCGCGAGGCGTCGGAGGGCCTGTTTCGGCCCCAGCGGAAATCGCACAGGCGGGCATGCCCAACAATTCTGCCAGAGTTGCACTATCACAGGATGAAGAGGCTAGGACGAGGAGGACGAGGAGGAGGAGGCTGCAGGGACCGAGGGATGAGAAACCGTCGTCCTCCTCCTCCTCCTCCTCCTCCTCCTCCTCCTCCTCCTCCTCCTCCCTCCTCCTCATCCCATACGGCGACAGGCCAGACAGTGCCAGACAGTGCCAGATATTGCAGTGCCAATGCAGCGCGCGATGCGCGCACGCGAATGCCATGGAGGCTCCGCCCATGACGCTTCAGTACACGCATGAACAGTCCCAGGACTGTTGCCAACCCCGCTGGTAATGATGGTGATGATGATGCTGCCGCTGATGATGATGATGACGACGATGATGACGATGATGACGATGACGATGAGGCTGATGATGATGCTGGCGATGTTGATGATGAGGATGATGATGATGATGATGATGATGATGAGGATGATGATGATGCTGATGATGATGATGATGGTGATGGTGATGATGAGGATGATGATCATCATCATCATCATCATCACCATCACCATCATCATCACCATTTGCTGCGATGCAATGTGGCGATGTCGCACCGCAGATGGTATCACTCTAGTCTGCACGGGCATGCCAACATGGTGATCCCATCACGGCTCCCCCCACGGATGTCCCTTACGGTCGAAGCACGGACACAACCCCGAGGGCCACGACATGAGCCACTCTGCCTGAGGCCCGAGGCCCCAAGAAAATGCCCAAGACGATACACGCCCCGAGGTGGAGAGCCCAAACACAAAGAACAGAAGAGTGCCGATCCAAACTCAGGGCGCTTCCTAGCCCTCGTGCCAGCTGCAAGGCAGGTGCTCTTGGCAGAGGAACAAACGCATAAACTCGACTTCTCGGAGCTCCGCGCGGAGTTCTTGGATCGGCGCTGGACCCGCCTCCCCTGCGCGCCAGCGCCAAGGGTGCCCAACGCCGATCCAAGAGATCCGCGCTGATTTCTCAGGAATGATTTGTATGCTGATATTTGGTTTTCGGTGTAAGGCATGTGCTCTCAGGCGACCTTCGTCTTGTGGCAAAACTCCCTCGTCGGATCGCTCTCTCATCCCCCCCTCTGTGACCCTCACCCCTTGTGGCGGCCTGGCTCTCGTCTGCAGTTGTTGTCGGTAGCGCCTCCCTTGATCAACCAAAACATGATCGCCCTCCTCTCTGCATGCTTATACCTCGATCCTGCCCCTCCCTCCTCCTTCTCCTATCCTCCTATCCTCCGCCACATCCGACGTTTAACATGTCCCCCATCCTCCTCCTTCTTGTTCTTGTCCTCTTCCTCCTCCACCCGCTGCAGCTCCTCCTTCCCCGTCGCATGCTTGATGTTAGCATGACCCCTGCGCAAGGACGACACGCACAGATTGAGAAGTGTACACGCAATCTCCCCTTCTCCTCCTCCCCCTCCTCATCCCTCATCGGTCCTCGCCGAGGCTTCGGCCGCCCGCCTCCGTCGCCGGCGCCAGCGGCTCCGACGGGAGAGCCAAGCCGGCCTGCCACGCGGAGCCACGAGGGGGCGAGGCTTGCCGCTCGGACGTCCATTCCCGGTGCATGTGCCGGTTTCGTGCGTGGTTTCTTGCTCGACGATCCAGGATGCTCCTGGATGGTCCCCGCCAAGGACAAATACACGCGTCCGAGCGATGCCAAGGAGGAGGCGAGGCATGGAGGGGAAGCAAACAATCTCATCAGAATCTCAATTTGTCTTGCCGATTACTCATCGTCTTCACGTGAAGTCCCGACGCTGCTTCACTGCGGCGCCAACTCCTCATGTTTTCGCTCTTGCATTGCCCATTCTCCGAGAGAGGGGGCCGGCGGCAGGGGGCGAAGCCCTTACGGATAATCTCTCGGAGCTCCGCGGGTGCATTTTCATGCCCTTGTCTTCTGCTTCGGGAGATGGAGGGAAGGGCAAGGATAAGAGTGGGGGCAAGGGGGAGGAGGAGAGGAGGGAGGAAAAGGGCGAAGGAGGAGGAGGAACAATAACAACGACGCGAAACCGAATGCACTTCGCGGGGACGGGGGGAAGCGAGTACTGGCGGGGAGCAAGAAGTTTGCGATCCAGTGTGCATGCTGGCTGCGGCCTGGCACCGATGAACGGAGAGCTCCCATCCACGGCGATCCGCGGATGGGAGATATTCTCACAGAGTACCTGCGTCATTGATGCTCGCACGTCCAATGCCGCCAGCACTCTGGATCCACATGGTCTAGCGTGCCAGCTCGTCTGACGCGTGGCATGGCGACCCCAGTCCCCGGCTGCATGGGGTTTTCGAAGACACAAGAAACAAACCTAGGGGTATGCGACGACAAGGGGGGGGGGGGGGGGGGGCAAACCGCGATGAGGGGCGCGTCTGACAAGCCTCATGGGGGTGTAGTCCCGAGCCCCCTGGGGGTGTATCCCCCTCTGAACGACAAACGTTGTGTTTGGGGGCGAGAAGTCGCCTGCGATCTTGCTCAGGCTCACCCCCCATAGCCCTCCTCGATGATCCTGCTCGTCCTTCCTCCCCCTCGTCTCTCCTCCCTCCTCGTCGTCCTCCCTCCTCTCTCTCTCCTTCCTCCCTCCTCCCTCCTCTCTCCTCCTCCCTCCTTCCTCCTCTCGTCCCGCCGCCCTTCCCCCACCCCCGCTGGGGTCTGGACACCGCAGTCGCGAGGCGTCGGAGGGCCTGTTTCGGCCCCAGCGGAAATCGCACAGGCGGGCATGCCCAACAATTCTGCCAGAGTTGCACTATCACAGGATGAAGAGGCTAGGACGAGGAGGACGAGGAGGAGGAGGCTGCAGGGACCGAGGGATGAGAAATCGTCGTCCTCCTCCTCCCTCCTCCTCATCCCATACGGCGACCGGCCAGACAGTGCCAGACAGTGCCAGAGGTTTCAGGGCCAATGCAGCGCGCGATGCGCGCACGCGAATGCCACGGAGGCTCCGCCCATGACGCTTCAGTACACGCATGAACAGTCCCAGGACTGTTGCCAACCCCGCTGGAAATGATAGTGATGATGATGCTGCCGCTGATGATGATGATGGCGACGATGATGACGATGATGACGATGACGATGAGGCTGATGATGATGCTGGCGATGTTAATGATGATGATGATGATGATGATGATGATGATGATGATGGTGATGGTGATGGTGATGGTGATGATGAGGATGATGATCATCATCATCATCACCATCACCATCATCATCACCATTTGCTGCGATGCAATGTGGCGATGTCGCACCGCAGATGGTATCACTCTAGTCTGCACGGGCATGCCAACATGGTGATCCCATCACGGCTCCCCCCACGGATGTCCCTTACGGTCGAAGCACGGACACAACCCCGAGGGCCACGACATGAGCCACTCTGCCTGAGGCCCGAGGCCCCAAGAAAATGCCCAAGACGATACACGCCCCGAGGTGGAGAGCCCAAACACAAAGAACAGAAGAGTGCCGATCCAAACTCAGGGCGCTTCCTAGCCCTCGTGCCAGCTGCAAGGCAGGTGCTCTTGGCAGAGGAACAAACGCATAAACTCGACTTCTCGGAGCTCCGCGCGGAGTTCTTGGATCGGCGCTGGACCCGCCTCCCCTGCGCGCCAGCGCCAGGGGTGCCCAACGCCGATCCAAGAGATCCGCGCTGATTTCTCAGGAATGATTTGTATGCTGATATTTGGTTTTCGGTGTAAGGCATGTGCTCTCAGGCGACCTTCGTCTTGTGGCAAAACTCCCTCGTCGGATCGCTCTCTCATCCCCCCCTCTGTGACCCTCACCCCTTGTGGCGGCCTGGCTCTCGTCTGCAGTTGTTGTCGGTAGCGCCTCCCTTGATCAACCAAAACATGATCGCCCTCCTCTCTGCATGCTTATACCTCGATCCTGCCCCTCCCTCCTCCTTCTCCTATCCTCCTATCCTCCGCCACATCCGACGTTTAACATGTCCCCCATCCTCCTCCTTCTTGTTCTTGTCCTCTTCCTCCTCCACCCGCTGCAGCTCCTCCTTCCCCGTCGCATGCTTGATGTTAGCATGACCCCTGCGCAAGGACGACACGCACAGATTGAGAAGTGTACACGCAATCTCCCCTTCTCCTCCTCCCCCTCCTCATCCCTCATCGGTCCTCGCCGAGGCTTCGGCCGCCCGCCTCCGTCGCCGGCGCCAGCGGCTCCGACGGGAGAGCCAAGCCGGCCTGCCACGCGGAGCCACGAGGGGGCGAGGCTTGCCGCTCGGACGTCCATTCCCGGTGCATGTGCCGGTTTCGTGCGTGGTTTCTTGCTCGACGATCCAGGATGCTCCTGGATGGTCCCCGCCAAGGACAAATACACGCGTCCGAGCGATGCCAAGGAGGAGGCGAGGCATGGAGGGGAAGCAAACAATCTCATCAGAATCTCAATTTGTCTTGCCGATTACTCATCGTCTTCACGTGAAGTCCCGACGCTGCTTCACTGCGGCGCCAACTCCTCATGTTTTCGCTCTTGCATTGCCCATTCTCCGAGAGAGGGGGCCGGCGGCAGGGGGCGAAGCCCTTACGGATAATCTCTCGGAGCTCCGCGGGTGCATTTTCATGCCCTTGTCTTCTGCTTCGGGAGATGGAGGGAAGGGCAAGGATAAGAGTGGGGGCAAGGGGGAGGAGGAGAGGAGGGAGGAAAAGGGCGAAGGAGGAGGAGGAACAATAACAACGACGCGAAACCGAATGCACTTCGCGGGGACGGGGGGAAGCGAGTACTGGCGGGGAGCAAGAAGTTTGCGATCCAGTGTGCACTGCATGCTGGCTGCGGCCTGGCACCGATGAACGGAGAGCTCCCATCCACGGCGATCCGCGGATGGGAGATATTCTCAAAGAGTACCTGCGTCATTGATGCTCGCACGTCCAATGCCGCCAGCACTCTGGATCCACATGGTCTAGCGTGCCAGCTCGTCTGACGCGTGGCATGGCGACCCCAGTCCCCGGCTGCATGGGGTTTTCGAAGACACAAGAAACAAACCTAGGGGTATGCGACGACAAGGGGGGGGGGGGGGGCAAACCGCGATGAGGGGCGCGTCTGAAAAGCCTCATGGGGGTGTATTCCCGAGCCCCCTGGGGGTGTATCCCCCTCTGAACGACAAACGTTGTTGGGGGCGAGAAGTCACCTGCGATCTTGCTCAGGCTCACCCCCCATACCCCTCCTCGATGATCCTGCTCGTCCTTCCTCCCCCTCGTCTCTCCTCCCTCCTCGTCGTCCTCCCTCCTCTCTCTCTCCTTCCTCCCTCCTCCCTCCTCTCTCCTCCTCCCTCCTTCCTCCTCTCGTCCCGCCCCCCTTCCCCCACCCCCGCTGGGGTCTGGACGCCGCAATCGCGAGGCGTCGGAGGGCCTGTTTCGGCCCCAGCGGAAATCGCACAGGCGGGCATGCCCAACAATTCTGCCAGAGTTGCACTATCACAGGATGAAGAGGCTAGGACGAGGAGGACGAGGAGGAGGAGGCTGCAGGGACCGAGGGATGAGAAATCGTCGTCCTCCTCCTCCTCCCTCCTCCTCATCCCATACGGCGACCGGCCAGACAGTGCCAGACAGTGCCAGAGATTGCAGGGCCAATGCAGCGCGCGATGCGCGCACGCGAATGCCATGGAGGCTCCGCCCATGACGCTTCAGTACACGCATAAACAGTCCCAGGACTATCGCCAACCCCGCTGGTATTGATGGTGATGATGATGCTGCCGCTGATGATGATGATGACGACGATGATGACGATGACGATGAGGCTGATGATGATGCTGGCGATGTTGATGATGATGATGATGATGATGATGATGATGGTGATGGTGATGGTGATGGTGATGATGAGGATGATGATCATCATCACCATCACCATCACCATCATCATCACCATTCGCTGCGATGCAATGTGGCGATGTCGCACCGCAGATGGTATCACTCTAGTCTGCACGGGCATGCCAACATGGTGATCCCATCACGGCTCCCCCGACGGATGTTCCCTTACGGTCGAAGCACGGACACAACCCCGAGGGCCACGACATGAGCCACTCTGCCTGAGGCCCGAGGCCCCAAGAAAATGCCCAAGACGATACACGCCCCGAGGTGGAGAGCCCAAACACAAAGAACAGAAGAGTGCCAATCCAAACTCAGGGCGCTTCCTAGCCCTCGTGCCAGCTGCAAGGCAGGTGCTCTTGGCAGAGGAACAAACGCATAAACTTGACTTCTCGGAACTCCGCGCGGAGTTCTTGAATCGGCGCTGGACCCGCCTCCCCTGCGCGCCAACGCCAGGGGTGCCCAACGCCGATCCAAGAGATCCGCGCTGATTTCTCAGGAATGATTTGTATACTGATATTTGGTTTCCGGTGTAAGGCATGTGCTCCCAGTCGACCTTCGTCTTGTGGCAAAACTCCCTCGTCGGATCGCTCTCTCATCCCCCCCTCTCTGATCCTCACCCCTTGTGGCGGCCTGGCTCTCGTCTGCAGTTGTTGTCGGTAGCGCCTCCCTTGATCAACCAAAACATGATCGCCCTCCCCTCTGCATGCTTATACCTCGATCCTGTCCCTCCCTCCTCCTTCTCCTATCCTCCTATCCTCCGCCACATCCGACGTTTGACATGTCCCCCATCCTCCTCCTTCTTGTCCTCTTCCTCCTCCACCCGCTGCAGCCCCTCCTTTTTGTCGCATGCTTCATGTTAGCATGACCCCTGCGCAAGGACGACACGCACATATTGAAAAGTGTACACGCAATCTCCCCTTCTCCTCCTCCTCCTACCCCTCCTCATCCCTCATCGGTCCTCGCCGAGGCTTCGGCCGCCCGCCTCCGTCGCCGGCGCCAGCGGCTCCGACGGGAGAGCCAAGCCGGCCTGCCACGCGGAGCCACGAAGGGGCGAGGCTTGCCGCTCGGACGTCCATTCCCAATGCATGTGTCGGTTTCGTGCGTGGTTTCATGCTCGACGATCCAGGATGCTCCTGGATGGTCCCCGCCAAGGACAAATACACACGTCCGAGCGATGCCAAGGAGGAGGAGAAGCATGGAGGGGAAGGAACGGAGGGTCGAGCCGCATCGCCAACGCATCGCCGACGCATCGGCGACGCATTGGCGACGCCGTCATGGAGAACATCGGGTTCCGCATCGACCCGCGTCACTGATGCATCGGACGCGGTGCGATCCTCCGACCCCATCTGGGCGACGATCAGAAAAAGGGTCGTGCCCGAGATCGCACAGCGACCTTACGCCGCGGCTTACGCGGGCCGCCACGGCGCCCCCGGTTGGGAGCGAGGGCGCGTGCGTGGGCAGCTTGAACGCGAATGTCAGCCCAGCTGGACCCATGTTATCATCGCCCAGATGACCATTCGCATATATATATATATATATATATATATATACGCTCAACCCCTGATTGGGCGTCGGGTTGCCACAAATTCGTCCGTTGCCATTCGACGAGCGGCAGCTTCCATGATTCACCGTGTCCAATCCCCCCTCTTCGCGGCAGAGACGGCCGCTGAGAAACTCAGGCCCCGGCCTTGAAGACGGCCAGGAGGTCTGAGCTGGACAAGCCCCCCCAATACTATGTCAAGAGGGGGGATGAGGACAAATTCGCTCGAACCTGGTCCCCAGACCCCTCCAGGGGTCGAAACTGGGCGGATTTTCGAGCCGCGTCCAGCCGTGGCGGCGAGGGTGCAGCTTTCTCCCCCCTTTCTTGCCTTGTCTTGTGTTGTCTTGTCTTGTCTTGTCTTGTCTTGTCTGGTCTGGTTGGTTGGAGGGGCCTTAAAGGCAGGAAAAGGAGAAAAAGGACCGAGGGGCCTCCAGGGGCCATCAGCGCCACCCGAGACACGCCCTCCCAAGGGGGGCCATCTAGGGCCGCCTCTCAACACGGGCCAGGGAAGGCGGACGGCAAAGCTACTGGCTCTGGTCCCCAACCCGCCCAAGCCAATCATGCAAGCACTGCGAGAACAGAAGCTACACATGAGCACTACCCAAGCTCGACTGCATTGCAAATACACAGCGTGCACATTCGAATCCAGGAGGCATCACTCACTGAACAATCACTCACGATCCCAATCTCCATTCCAAGATGAGGCGATGAATGATCTCCCGACTCAAAGAAATCCTGGGGCTCCGCCTCGATCGACTACTCGAGGCTGGCCTCCCAAGCTTCATCCCTGGTCCTCAATCGGGCTTCCAGGGCAGCCTGCCAAGCTTCGTCGCTGGCCCTCATGCGGGTATGAATGTCGAAGTCTTCCTCCGCTTCAGGGTAGCCGTCATCGAAGCCGTCGTCGGCACTTGCTTCAAAAAGGTGTTATACACAAATGTGGAGATATATATATATATATCTATATGTATACATACATACATACATACATACATACATACATACATAAATATACGCACAACAAGCATGTTTTGGTATGCACGCGCGACGATGCGCGTGTGCCTTCCGTTCAACTATTCGCAAGGAATTATTGAGAACTTGCGATGCGTGGAAAAACGAGCCCTGCATAGTGTATTTTTCCGCAGGCGGAATATGGCGTTTTTTTTGGGGGGGGGGTCGAAGCAGGCTTGGCTGGGCTCGTATGGTTCTATACCTAGAACAAACAACGGAGCGGAGTCATTAATGACTTGAACATCTCCAGGGCGGGGGGGTAATCCCGAGGTGGGGGGGTAGATCCTAATTTCCATTGCAGAAAGGAGAGTCTACATCCATCTATGCAATGCACCCGTTGGGCGGCGACGAGGCGGCGACGGCGAGCATGAACCGCCAGACCGCCAGCCATGCACAGACGAAGGGCGGCGACGAGGCGGCGACGGGGCGGCGACGGCGAACACGAACACGACGGCGGGGCGGGGCGGCGCTTGCCAGGCCCAGTTCCTTGGAAAAAAAACTAGAAACCCTAAGTGCAAGCACTGTGCGGGAAACAGAACAAGAAACCCTAAGTGCAAGCACTGTGTGGGGAACAAACACTCACTTCCGGACGGCCGCGGCGGATTTCTTGTATTGGCGCTGGACCCGCACTCCTGGTGCCCAGACCGCGCGCGCCAGGGGCGGCGCCAGAGGCGCCGCCAAAGGGCGCTCCAGAGCAATTTCTATTTCTGCCGTTTGTTCTTCTTCGAGCGTGATGTGACGGGAAGGAAGAGGAATAGTCCGTCGCCGACGCCGCCGTCGCCGCCGCCGCCGTCGTCGTCGTCGTCGTCGTCGTCGTCGTCGTAATCAACGTCGTCGTTGTCGTCGTCGTCCGGGCAGGTATTGTCTGGACCCCCCTTCCCTGGAGCGCCCCGGGCGCCAAGAAGGGGGGGTCCAGCGACGATCTGATAACCCCTCGTGGACCTCATGCAAATCATGGTGTGTATATTATTGTAAGGCCTGGGTTTATCAGTTACCACCGCCTGGAATATGGATCTTCGGGAACCTCGGCAGGCGGTGGATATTGATAGGGCTCAGAACTCGTGTATATCTATACCTATACGGTACACACACATATACACACATCTCCCTCTATACATATAAATATACACACATGTCCGCCGCCTTCCAAGGTCCTCGAAGAGTCGGTCACCCAGGGCGGTGGCTATGGATAAATCCCCGCCTCGGAACCTCAGATATATGATTGCCCACTCGACGATTAGAAAATTCAAAGAAGAGAGCTCCCGATCCGCGTCGCAGACCCTACATGCCAGAACAACCAGGCCCAAAGCGTGCTGGTGCTCCGTGTGTATCTCGCCTAATGCCTTCGACGGATGACGCCTTTGGTTGCGTACTGATCGACCCCTAGGCAGAAAACATGACTGCCCATGATCGACATCAAGTGGCAACTCTCTGTCACCAGATGGTTAATTCTGAGCCACATCTACATTACAGGGTCGGGGAGCTTGGCTGGGAAGGGGCATGCCACTCCTTGACGAAAACCTTGCACCGAATCGTTGCCGGCGCGCTCGCCGCGGCGACCTGCAAAACGGATCCCGAGGTTTGGCTCGGAGTCGGCGATCATGCAACGGTGCATTCCGCGGTCGCCTGGCCCAAGTTGTGCAGGTGCTCTCTGGGAAACACGCCTTACGTTCTCGAGTGGGGATTGCTCGAAGCAAAACAGTGCGTCTGCCAAGAGGACTCACCGTCCGCCGCCGTCGCCCGACGGGCGGCCCTGGCAGCGGCCCTCGGGGCGCGCGGCGAGGCGAGTTGAGACAACGTCAGCGAGTTGAGGCAACAACAAGAACAGCAACAGCGACAGCACCAGCACCAGCACCAACACCACCAACAACAACAATCATGTTACCCTCATGCGCGATGTTTCCACACGAAGCATGCGAGCATCATCATTGCCATCCACATCATGGGAGGGTCTTTTTCTATAGCGGGGTCCATTATTCCCATTCCCAGATCTCCCGCCCAATGGGAGCTTGCAAACAACTCCTCCGAGGAATTTCAACAGATTCCAACTCGAAAACACATGCCCGCGCCTTGCTGCGACGATGCGAGACCGCCAGTGGAACCCCAGCAAAGGGTGAAGTACAAGGAAGTATCGAACGACAGGATTGCCTTGGTGGGGATGGGGGCTGTCGGCGGTGAAGCAAGGACCTGGCCCTGAATAGAAACGGAGGAATTCTCGAGCAGGGCTGCTGTTGTTGCTGGGCGCGGCGCCAATGCTGAAGAGAGTAGGGGCTAGTCCAGCGTAAACCAAAACGAGGTCTCGAGCGGGAGCGCTGGTTTTGTTGGGACGGCGGCTTTCGGCGGCGAGGAGGAACACCGCCTTGAATAAGAAAGGAGGAAGCATCGAGCGGGAGCCGTGGTTTTGTCGGGACGGGGGTTGTCGGCGGCGAGGAACAGCACCGTCTTCAGGAAAAAGAAAGGACATCTCGAGCGGGAGCGTCGTGCTTGCTGGGAACGGTGCCGATTCAAAAAAGAGTAGGGCGCCAGCCCAGCGCAAAACGGAAGGAAGTCTCGGGCGGGAGCGCTGGTTTTGTCGGGGCGGCGGTTTTCGGGGGCGAGGAGGAACGCCGCCTTGAGTAAAAAGGGAGGAGGCATCGAGCGGGAGCGTTGTTTTTGCTGGGGGCGGCGCCGATGAAAGAAAGACTAGCGCGCGAGTCCACGGTAAAACGGGAGGAAATCTCGAGCGGGAGCGCTGGTTTTGTTAGGACGGCGGTTTTCGGCGGCAAGCAAAAACGCCAGCCCTGAATAAAAAAAAAGTCTCGAGCGGGACCGTTGTTGTTGGGGGGCCGGTTTTGGCGGCCCCCCAAGCCGCTCGAGCGTGAACCTCATTTCCAATGAAAATGTAGCCGGCGCCTCGGCGAGAGCGCCAGGGCGCCTTTAACGGGTCCAACAATAATAATTGTCTAGAAATATCGCACCCCGCAATTGCGGATAAGAGTGATGGGGCGGGC